AAACTTATTATAATGAAATAAGTTACTGGTACGTATTTACCACATTTTTATCATTATTTTAGAGTGTACCCTTTCTGCTTATAAAATACAGTTTGCTGTAAAACAGTTTGTAGTGCTACCTGACAGCAGCCTCATACATCTGGCTTTTACTGTACCTCTTAATTGCACTGTTTTCTCTTCCTTGATTTAATCTCATGTTGTCTTGTAAGTATAGTGTAGCCTAAGTTTACAAAGTCTGTAATAAAATACATTAATGTCCTAGGCCTTCCCATTCACTCACCACTTACTAACGTATCCAGAGCAACTTCCAGTTCTGAAAAAATCTATTAATGATAATTATCCCATACAGTTAAACCATTTTTAAATCTTTCATGCAACACTTTTACTGTACCTTTTCTATGTTTAGATATACAAATACTTATCACTGTTTCATTTGCCTATAGGTTTGTAGTTTAGGGTTTACCACATAGCCCAAATGTGCAGTAGGCTATATACCATATAGGTTTAAGTACACTGTGTTTGCACAACCACAAAAGTCTATGGAATTCTTCAGTATACATTTTTCAGAATATATCTGTCATTAAGCAGTGCCTAACTGCACTTTAAATATAAAACCCTCGGAGGAAAATATAAGTGAATCTGTAATGGGGAGTTCATGTAATATATTAGTCTGACTAGCCATAGAAGAGAACTAAAATGAGAATGTACTAACAAAGCAAGCCTATGAAACAATTTATATAAAGCTACCAATATTAATCTTAGTAAATGTTAGACCCAGCTTGTTATTCTAACCTGATTTTTCTCTCAAAGCTAGAGCTGTCATGTTAAACGTATTTTGTTGTTGCTGTTTTAGTAAACTTTTCAGTCCAGGAGTTTCCATTCCTGTGTGAATCTCGGAAGCAGCCTGACTTCAGGATACCACTAGGAATTCAGCCGTCAAAATGCCCAACTGGCCAACACAAGAATGATGACTATAAAGATCCACATTAAGGCCCACTAAAGAAGTCCTGCACAACCCATACAATCTGCAGATCCTACACAAAACCTCATGCTAACCAGAAAAACCACCTTCTTAATTAAATAACATATAATGAACAATTCTTTTCCCTGGGTCAGGAAAAAGGATGTACTCTGTATGCCTTAAAACAAGGGCCTAGTCAGTCACGCCTGCTAAGAGCAACACCCCTGCCCATTTTTTTGAGCATACTGCAGAGACTTAATCCAACCTGGGCCTAGGGTGGCTTGGCTACAGACTTGGACTGACATTAAAGATCTCTATTGGGACCAGCAAGGACACTGCATGCATGTCCACAGCCCATTCTTCCTGGTTTCTTTGTTCTGCTTTCCCTTTCCCTCCAGATAAAAACCCTTGCCTGAACTGAGATTTAAAGATGGGCTTTAGGACTAGAGTCCTCCATCTTCCCAGGCTGCCAGCACTTGAATAAACCTCTTTCCTTTGGCTTTTGTTGCAGCAGGCTGCCAAACCTAGGTTCAGTTATAAATCCTTGTGACCTTCAGTTACGCAAAGATTTCTTTCCTATGATATGAAAAGCATAACCAACAAAAAGAAAAAATTTAATAAACAGGATTTTAAAAAAAATAAAAAACTTTTGCACCTCAAAAGATCACATTAAGAAAGTGAAAACACTAATTAGGAGAAAATACTGCAAATTATATCAGCTAAAGGACAAAACCTAAACAGAACAATTTTTAAAAACTGATTTTAAAAATGGGAAGAGTCTTCCCTGGCCAGATAGCTCAATTGGTTAGAATGTTGTCCTGATATGCCAAGGTTGCAAGTTCGATCCTCGGTCAAGGCACATACAAAAAATCAACCAATGGGTGCAAAAATGGGCGGAGCAACAAACTGATGTTTCTCTCAAATCAGTAAATAACATTTTTTTAAAAAGTGACAACAGTCTGAATAGACGTATTTCTCCAAAAAAAACTTACAAACAAACAAGAAGCACATGGGAAAATGCTCACCTTCATTAGTCATTAGGAAAATGCAAATTAAAACTGTGATAACACTTACCAGATAAGCATAACCAAAAAGTCAGAAAATAGAGGAAATGAATATCGCAAAAATTGCTGATAAGAACATAAATTAGTACAGTCACTTTGAAAACAATTTGGCAGTTCCTTACGTTAAATATACATTTATGATATAATCCAACAATTTTGCTCCTAGGTTTCTACCCAACACAAATAAAATATATATACTGTTCACAGAGGAAGACTTGTAAATTAGGGTTCTTAACGGCTTTATCTGAGGTCTATATTATATACGGTGTCCACGCAAAACAGTTACACACACTCTGAATAATTATAAAGGCATTGTTTATTAAAATACATTTCATTTTCAAAACTGAGCTATCAGCAGTTAAAGTGTGTATATAATTTTTTGGGACACCATGTATAGATCCATATATTACAGAGTGAACGAATCCCAAAAACATTATCTAACTGAAAGAAGCCGGATATAAAAACTACATATTGGCTCTGGCTGGTATGGCTCAGTTGATTGGAGCAACACCCAGTGCACTGAGGGATCTTCGGTTCAGTTCCTGGTCAGAGCACATACCCGGGTTGTGGGTCCACTACCCCAGTGATTGTGGTGCATATGAGAGGCAACCTATGGATGTTTCTCGCTGTCTCTTCCTCTCCCTTTCTCTCTCTTTAAAAATTAATTTTAAAAAAATCCTCAGATACAGATTTTTAAAAAAGGACTACATATTGTATGAGTCCATTATGCAAAATCCAAGGTAAGCATATATACAGTGATACAAAGTAAAACAGAAATTGCCTGTAGCAAGAGAGAATGGTGGGCAAGAGGATGTTGAAAATAAGTGGAAGTATAGTGATGAAAATATTAAAAACTGGTCTAGGGTGTTGTTTTTACAACTCTATTAAACTTAGTAAACGCCGTGTAATTGCATACAGTAAAAGAGTAAATTTAATGGTATATAAAAATTATATCTCCATAAAGGTGTTAAAAAAGAACTTGTCTTTTAACCAAGATACAACTGTTTTTCTCTTTTATCAGTACTAATCTCTTTGCACATATATCAGAAAAGAAAAAGCCTAAATTTACATTAATTCTTTAATTTGGCTTAAACAAACAGTGGTTTCTACATTAACATGCTAAAACAAATGAAATATATTAAAAAGCTAAAAGTACATTTGTTCAGCTAAATTTAGAATGTTGAAATTTCATGACATCTAATTTCAAAAGTTGTAAGCTTCACTAAAAACACCTCATCAAAGAAAAATTATCTATTAAGAGAAATCAACAAAAAATGTTGTATCTTACTGAGATATTAAACATGTATTTCAAGATCCTAGAAGAAAAACCCCATGGAAAATCCTACTTAACCATTTCTATCCAATAACATGGTTAAAGGTAAAAATCTATTCTTCAAAATTACTTCTTTAGCACTCAATATCAAATGCAATGTTTTGCTTTATTTAGCAGCTACAGAAATTCTCTCCAACTTTAGAAAAAACATCAAATACTATTAAGAGCAACAAAAGTAATAAAATTAAAATTTACATCAGGATGATAGATAAAACACTGAGGTTAAATTTGTACAGAGAAAGAGGAAGAAAAAAAGTTATAATCCAAAAATCTTATCTTTAAATCAGTGAAATAAAACAGTTTTAGGGTGACGCCTGAACGCTTATTGCAAATACTTCGGGCTTTCATTCTTCACACTGTAACAATAAAGTATAGAACATTAAAATTAAACCCACATGCATGAGTTTTTGAATAGGGAAAACAAATGCTAGTAAAGAAGCCTTGAAACACCTTAGGCATTTGCGGAGGCCAAAATGGCAGTTCGTTAATTTAGGGGAGGAAGGACAATGTAGGAGTTTAAAGTTTTCTTTTAAATTAAAAAATATGGTTTAGAATAGCCACCCTAAGTTATGGGTAACTAGTTCGTAGGATATAACGTCTAACGATAAAGTCCAAGAAAAGATTTATTTCAAAGTTTCCTAATCAAAGCACCGCAAATTGTTTCTGAAAAGCAAGAATATAGAAATGTTATGTGGATTTATAGGATGAATGTGTTTCACCGTAAGAAAATGCTCCAAAATATTACCCTTAAAACAGAGGATAAATATGTAACACGTACATACAACTCGCTAAATTAAGTTTAAAAACTATCTTAAATTATTCAGCCACCTGTAGGAGAAACTGCCCAGGGGATAAACTCAAGTAGTTTAATGAAATTTCATTAAATAACGAATGTTCTTATTTTTTAAAATTCCTATGTAAATTTTAGTTTTCAGAAAATTCCATGGGACTCCATAAATATCTGTTCTATAGCTGTAAATTAATGTATTAATTTTAAAATACAAATATGAAAGCTAATGAATGTCATATTTTAATAAAGACTATTATGGGAGCAGACAATGTCAGACACGATAGCTAGGCATACTTGGGGCCTAGCTCTGTTTCAGATAACTCCACATCCGTGCTGGAGTTTGGCCTCAAGTTCAACCAGATCAGCTTAGGGTCGGTCCTGTGAAAGCTGCGAGGGAAAGCCGGTAACAGGGAGCGGTTAGCACCTCGGCCCAGATAAGTCAGCAGCGGCGAAGAGGCGAGACAGGACTATCAGCCATTTTACCTTACACTGAAAAATAAGGATATATTCCTACAGCCCAGGCTTCGCACACAGTACCATGCAAGACCTCTCGGCATGTCGTAGGCAGACGGCGGATCTGCCCGGATGGGCTGGAAAAACAGAATCACATGCTTCCTAGCCCCACTACTGCGTCAGATCCAGCTGTCGGCCTCAGAGAAGATCGGGTGGCTCCTCAACGCACGACACGGGCACCTTTACACCCAAGTCAGAGTATGCGAAGGCAAGATACAGTGGCAAAAGTCTGCTCTCAAATCAACAGAAAACAAACACTTGTAAAGACCGAGGTATCGACCTGCGGTTGAAAAGGCCTCTCTTCCACTCCATCCTCGTAGGGAAGTGGTGCCCCCTTACCTGTTTTTTTTTTCCCCTTGGGCTGGGGCTGTTGACTGAGGTTAGGTGGCCTCCAGGTGGTGAGTTTTTCCAGTGTCACGTCCTGTTAGTTATTCCGCAGCAGTCGCTTCACCTTTCCGTGTTCGCCAGTCTGGGCCTGGTCTGTCAGGTAAGACAGACGCTTAACTTTCAATGCCCAAACAACCAGGTCCTCAGGAAGCCGCCTCCCGTGAAGGAGACACACTGGGGTCAAGCTTTGGCGAGGCCTGGAAGCTGGGTGAGGTAGAAGGGGTTGGGCTCAACAGAGCCCCTAAAGGGCGGGGTGCGATGAGGTTGGGGCTCAGGCGCTCGCCTAAGCCGTCCTCTTCAAATATGGCGGATCCCGCAAACCAAAAAAACAACAAACAAACAAAAAAAACCCCCGCCAAACGGCGGGCAACG